ATATCTCCAAGAATGGGTACTAAGGCGGAACCGAGAATTTTGTACTCTCGCAATTCGCAAGAATCAAAGGCCAGAAAATTTCTTCAGGTGTGGCAAAACCTTATTAAAAAATGTTGAGAAAGAATTAAACATCCATTATTAAATGAAATCATGATTAAATTACAATCAAATTTTGTATCTTCTTGACGTATATTAAAGGCCAAAAACTTAGTCTCAGTTTAATTGATATATTTTAGTTTTATATTAAACAAGTAAGGAAGGGCTAAGTTCGGATGTAACCGAACATTTTATACTCTCGCAAAGTCAAATGATATACTCGTATATTTTCATATTTTGAGTCAATTTTATATATATACAAAAATATTAATACTCACTGACCGACATATTCGGCATAAAACTGGTAAGTATTATAAGTAGTATACGGAAGTAGAAGGTAGTATTAACCCGATTTTATCAATTTTTGCCAATACTACATACTATTGTACTAAGCCACAGACTAATAAAATGCTCCCACTGTTTCATTATGGTACCTCACATACCATCATATGGAGGCAAGTCAGACGAATGTTCAAAAATCCTGATATTAGTTACATGGGGGCTAGGTAAAATTTTCACCCGATTTCATCCATTTTAAGCACAAAGATACCTTGTTATGAGTAAAACACGCTCACTCACATATTGGCCGATAGGTCACCCGGAAGTTCAAAAATCTTTATATTAGGTATATGAGGGCGATAGGAAGTATTGATCCGATTCAACCCATTTATTTATTTTATTATATGAACTTCAATTATATATCTTACACATTGATCGCGCTTTTAGTAGTTTTTTAACAGTACCGTTATATCGGGAGTGAGCGATGTTGCCACCCGATTTTTTCAAATTTTTACACTGTCGATAGAGGTGCTAAAAGCATTGGTTCTGAGTGAATTTTGTTATTATAGCTTTAGCAGATGAGCCGATATGCACATTAAACCTATTAGGGGACGGGACCACGCCCACTTTAAAATTTTAACTGCGGACGCCCCTCCCGTATGTGATCCTGAATACCAAATAACAGTATTGTATCTTATTGAGGAGCTTAGTTATGGAAATTTATTCGTTTTTGATTAATGGCGTTTTGTGGGCTTGGCAGTGGTCCGATTACGCCTATAACAGTATTGTATCTTATTGAGGAGCTTAGTTATGGAAATTTATTCGTTTTTGATTAATGGCGTTTTGTGGGCTTGGCAGTGGTCCGATTACGCCTATCTGCAATACCAACCATCTTACGATACCAAGAAATATTTGTACCAAGTTTCATAAAGATATCTCCATTTTTACTCAAGTTACAGCTTGCACGGACGGACGGGCAGACAGACAGTCAACCGGATTTCAACTCGTTTCTTCATCCTAATGATTTATATATGTAGGTATATATAACCCTACATCTAACTCGATTAGTTTTAGGTGATACAAACAAACGTTAGGTGAACAAAACTATTATACTCTGTAGCAACATGTTGCGAGAGTATAAAAATATTCTAAAACGAAAAATACAATTCAAAAATGCGTTCAGCAACCTAAAAAAAAAACAAAGGTTTACAGTTCTTAATAAACAACGCTCAAAACTTTAAAGCACAAAAAACAAGAAAAAACGTTAACTTCGGTTGCACCGAAGCTATAATACCGGGCAGTTTGTATGGCAGCTCTATACTATAGCCGATCTGAACTATTTCTTCGGATTTTGCGCTCTTAGACAATAATCAGTTCAATTTAGGGAATATATCTCGTCAAATGAAAAAGTTTTCCATACAAGTATTTGATTCTGATCGTTCAGTTTGTTTGGCAGCTATATGCTTTAGTGGTCCGATATCGTCGGTTCCGACAAATGAGCAGCTTATTGGGGACAAAAAGATGTGCAAAATTGCAGGTCGATATCTCAAAAAACTGAGGGACTAGTTCGCGTCTACACCGACAGACGGACATGGATAAATCGACTCAACTCGTCCTCATCATTTTTTAAATTACCACATGGTTAAACAAAAATCTAAATATCACTCAATCTAAAGTATGGGGATGTTTGAGCAAGCAAATAACTGCACCAATATAGCAGCCCTGTTGATATTCTTCAGATACTCAGCTGATACTTTAATTTTGGAATTTAAAGTAATATATTATGCATAAGTATAAATACTTTAAATAAAATAAATGATATTAATTAATTATAAAATAAAATAAATAGCGATTTTGTTTAACTTTCTTTTTCCATCATAAATTTTGGTGATGCCGATTTTGTCAGTTTTGCGATCATGAAATGTAAAAATTTGAATTGCTCGAAGGCTCAACATTTTTGAATGTTGCAACATTTTTACGTCTAATATAATGCTTTGCTCTATTACCGTAGTGATTGAGACTCGATCTCCTATTATTCAATTCTGTACATTAATAGGCACGTCTACGAATATGTGTGCACAATCGTGCAGCATAAACAAGGATGACATGATACGAGACTCTCTCATATTTCTCTCAAACGCGGTCCCTAAATAAGTTGGTAGCAAGAGTGATAGGGACAGATTGCCCCACCCAACTAACTATGATATATGCGTGTAATACAGAATGAGAGCAGACAACAAGTAAAAACTATCAAATCACCCGTAAATTGTATACACTTTTGAAAACTTCTGAAATAAACTTAATTTAGGTATTAGTTAATAATGAAAAATTTTTAGTGAATAGAGATGAAAAATATCTTGTAACAAATAAGGAAGTGCTAAGTTCGGATGTAACCGAACATTTTATACTCTCGCAAAGCAAATGGTATACTCGTTTGAGATTTCTTTGTGGATTGACCGATATTTTCGGTAGAAGGTCAACTATAGGCACTGGGGTCCACATATTCAGTACTTAGGGGCTTTAGCAGTTTTTGTTCGATTTAGACAATTTTTGGGCACAAGGTGGCATACTTTAAACGTATTATTCACGCATAATCATTGTTGCTTGATTTGCATACTGGAAAGTGAAAGAATCAGATGGAATTGAAAATGGTGTTATATGGGAAAAAGGCTTGGTTGTAGTCCGATTTCGCCCTTTTTAGCACTATAATATAGAAATATGAAAATAATGTTGTATACCGAATTTGGAGGAAATCGGTTAAGCAGATCCCAATATATGGGTTTTCACCTAAAAGTGGGCGGTGCCACGCCCACTGACTAATTTTGAACGCTGTTTCTATAAAGTCATCTCATACCATCCCAAATATAAAATTTAATGTCTCTGGCGTGTTTACTGCTTGGTTTAACGCGCTTTTAGTATTTTTTAACGGTACCGTTATATGGGGAGTGGGCGGGGTTGTCAGCCGATTTCACCCATTTTCACACTGTCGATAGAGGTGCAAAAAAATATTTGTTCTAAAAACATTTGCTTCCAGTGAATTTTGTTATTATAGCTTTAGCGGTTTAGGAGATATGCATATTCAACTTATTATGGTATTAAATTTAACTGCGGACGCCCCTCTTTAAAGTGATCCTGTGTACCAAATAACAGTCTTGTATCTTATTGCTGAGCTTAGTTATAGCAATTTATTTGTTTTTGATTAATGGCGTTTTGTGGGCGTGACAGTGGTCCGATTACGCCCATCTGCAATACCAACTGACTGACGGTACCAAGAAACATGTGTACCAAGTTTCATAAAGATATCTCAATTTTTACTCAAGTTACAGCTTGCACGGACGGACGGACAGACAGTCACCCGAATTTCAACTCGTCTCTTCATCCTGATCATTTATATATACATAACCCTATATCTAACTCGATTAGTTTTAGGTGATACAAACAACCGTTAGGTGAACAAACCTATTATACTCTATAGCAACAAGTTGCGAGAGTATACAAATATTGTAATAACTGGTGAAGTTGGCAAAAATCGTAGAACTGTTTTACTGAAAAAAACATTCGTCAATATAAAAACACATTAGAATAATTTTTGAAGACACCCGAGGTATTCTTGGAAATAGGCAAAGTTAAATTTTTCAATATAAATGACTATGACCTTAAACATACTGCGATAAGGGTCGTCCAGAACGAGACGTCTCCTCTATCGCAATTTCAGTCGAAAGTCTGTAATAAGCACGACGTTAAACAATTACTAGTAAAAGAGAAGTCATTGTGTACAGCATTCAATAGTTCTTTGATTTAACTGCGCGATTTCTCTTCTAAAAACAATACTCGAACCATTTTACTAAAATCTGCTGACATGCCCGCTTCTACAGGCGGTCAAAATACAACAACGAGTCCGCAGAGTTTAATAGTATCTGTTTACGAGAATATGGTACACGATAGTAAATTTCTCTTGTGATAGTTTACGTTTTACTTTGGAAATTAAACATTTATTTCTGTTATTAAAAACTAAGCCTTAACTGAATTCCTATGTTGTTTTTCGATTTGCAAATTCTACATACATAAAATAATCTTGTGGCACTAATATTAATGTCATCTTTGACAATCCGCTTACTTTAATTTCCCAATATTTAAACACTTTATTAAAATAAAAAGGGCAAGCAAAAGGCACATACATACATATATATATAAACATAATACATAGCTTTCTTCTAATTGATAGGGACAATTTAATTAAGGCTTTCAGATGAGGTGGCGCAATTTAAATCCTATGTATAGTATTTGTACAAAATTTTCATGGACAGACACCCCCTATAATTAAACTAATAGCGTTTTCATTTCTAATAAAAATTTTGAGTTTATTCTTCCCAATGCTCGGGTTAACAAAGTTGAGTGTTCTTTTCTCAATATTTTTGCAGGTTCGTTTGTGTTTAATCTATTTATAATGAATAGGTGGTCAATTTTATCAAACTCAATGATGGAAATTGTGAATGAGTTGGTTAGCAGTTTTTACTTTACCATGTAAAAAATTGAAAATGTTTAATTGTGTAATGCAGTATTTATATAATGTTGCCATTAAAGAAATATACATTTATTTTAGTTATATACAATTAGCAACATACCATATTAATTCTTAACATAGTAAAATTCTGAAAATCTTAATCATTTTTTATGGATTGATTTCACGTTGTCATGCTTTGTATATTCCTTTTTGCGTCGAAATATCAACTAACGAACTAAATCCCTGAACTATCAAGCCTGCATGTGAATGCAGCTATTGTGATTGAACCCACACAAGAGGTGTAAAATTTCTTCTAAAAATTGTTTCTGTACACCTGTAAAAAGTTTATCAAGTATGCGTTTATACAAAAAGAGAACTTACCTTTTCTTTGCTTAAACAATTTCCTAGGTTGAGTTTATTAGTATTAGCAAGAAGTGTGCAATGATGATACGCATTCGGATATCCTAATTTTGCGGCCGTACCGGACAACTGTAAAAAAATATATATCATTAAGTATATCAAAAAATTATTTTCATTTGATGTACTTCATTCCATTTAAATAATTGATCTATTTATGCATTTGTTAATATTATTTCAATTTATTTTATTATGTATAGTTGGGGGTTTTCTAATGATTCCCAGCTGTTTAGTAAAAGTCAAATGAGGCTCTCGTTAATAAATATCGCAATTTTTCCAAATTTTTCATCCATGCTCACGCAAGCGAATGCTTTCAGAATAACAGAAATTGCGATAAAAAAAATCCATAGAATGAGACCTAGACACTCGACGCGGTTTGCCTCGTATTTTCTAATGGTAAAATGGCAATATGCCATAAGGTTTAAATCTGCATATTTTGCAATCCGGCAACTCACATTTTTATCGTAAAGTTTAACATTTTTGATGTTATACATATTCAAAACGTTTTGACATACAAGCGCTATTGTGTTGTTTAAAATATTTATATCGGCCAAAAAATATCGCGAACATATTAACGCGATTATTTTCTACAACTTTCTATAACAGTGCATCGAAGAACTTAATTCAATTTTTGGCGATGAAGCTTCATCACCAGTGAATTTAATCGAGGTTGTAGATCACTCCAAGACGGATTTTGTGAAGATTGTCCAAAATCAGCTATTGTTGCGGAAACCATTGATGCTGTGCGCAAAGTGATATTGCAAATTCGTCAAGTGACCTATCGTGAGATTGAGACAACTATAGGCATTAGTGGTACTAGCATATATTGTATGAACATTTTACTGTAAAACAAAAGATTGTTCACGTTGGATCCCACACAACTTGTCAATTGCTCAAAAAAAGGCTCGATTCGATGGGTCGAGAGAAATGTTAAAAAAAGATATGATAGCGGTGCTTCGAAACACGTCTCTGACATCGTGCCAGGTGATGGATCGTGGATTAACGCCTACGGACCAGAAAGTATACAGCAGTCGACTGTATGGGTGTTTCAAGATGAGCCGAATCCAACAAAAGTTTCTATTCCCGAATTATAAAAGGCAATGCTGGTATGTGTAACGACTTGTAATACTATGCATTTCGTGCAACCATTGGAAGTTATTTAAATGGAAGAATTTCTTAAGTAGAGAGAACCTTTAAAAATTCAATATAAAAATTCTCATTTAAAATACACAAGAAAAATTTTATCTAAAACCCTGTGTCGGAAAAACGCACTATTTCGATCAGGTGATTTCAGCTGTGTAAAAATTTTGACAATCATATAATTATTTTATTTGTATGGCTATGTAATGCGATAGTCAAAATAATAATACTAATTTATACATATGTATATTCCCAATTATTTTTATTAAGCTGATATTTACGAAATTAAACCAGAGCGATATACGACACACATGTATACGATCGGGGTACTTTCCTTTTGCCTTATATGACCTATGCACAAACTCATTTCTTTCCTTCTTCAATATTGTGATCATACTCTTTGTAATTCTATAATTCTTATATAAATTTATTAGGGTAACATTAGGGTGTATTGCACGTCACATAATCAAAAAGTATGTCATATGTTGCATAAATATCATACGATCAAATAAATGGCTTAAATTGCGACACGTGCAGTATGAAACTTTGGGAAGTGCAAGGTCAGCGAATTTCATCCCCGTTGCAGCGGCCAACTTAGAAGCGACTACTGACGGCACAAAGGATCAATTAACGAATAGAAACCACAGTACCAGTGGGGAACTTCGAAGCGTGGAACAATATCCAAATGGGACGCTGGACATAATTATTAGCGGAATATTTTAAATTTCTGCTATTTATAAAATATTATAAGTAAAGAAAAGATAATTGTTAACGGAAAAAGAAAGTGAAAAGAAAAAGATATAAAATTTTATAAGAACGAAAAATATTAATTGCCATAAAAAAGTGAAATATTTAAAATTCTAGTATTCATAAAAATTTACAAGTAAAAGAAAAGATAATTGTTAATGAAAAACAAAACGTGAAAAGAAAATGATATCAAACTTTACAAGTAAAAAAATATTAGTTGTCATTTTATACAAAAATGAGCAGAAAAAAATATATAACATATAAAAGAAATTCCAAATCTTTACGGTTTATAAAAAGGTAGTTCTAATTATAGAATACAGACAAAAAAAAGTTTTGCAAAATGACGGACACATCAGAAGAGTTAATCGAGCAACTAAATAGGTGAGATCTTCCTACCCCAACCTGACCATCTACCTGTTACTCTATGAATTACGCGATAAAAACACCAATAGTAAAATTAAGGGATAGAAAGCCATTTTAGAGGAGTATAATTACGAACTAATTTACAAACCTGGTAAAACAAACGTAGTTTCGGACGTGCTTTCAAGAGTACCAATACAAATCTATTCACTCCCATCTAAAATTCATAGCAATTAAAGCTCAAATCATAATTTAATCCCTTGTACAGAAGTTCCAATTAAGGCTTTCAGGAATCAAAGATTTTTAAAGGATGAAATATCTTCATATCAATTTAAGATAAGTTTTCCAACTGTTTATAGACACATAATAACAGACCCGGAGCACAATATCTTACAATACATTAATCCATAAGAAATAAATGGAATTTACGCAGAGGAAAGAATAATGAGTATGATTTATAATATTGACCCTTTAGTAATATTAAAAGCCGATACACCCAAAAATTTGTTTAAGTTGTTAGCAACGAACAAGAACAAGAGAACGTCATATTAAAGGAACACCTAAGAGCACATAGGAATGCGACTGAAAATAAAACACAAATTCTTTCAGTAAAATATTTTCCCTATATAATAAGTAAAATAAAACAAATTATGGCTAACTGCCCCGTTTGTAAAGAAAATAAGTACGAGAGGCATTCGAATCAATCGAAAATAGCAGAATCTTCATTATCAACATATCCAGAGCACACAGTCCAGTCCATATTGATATATTTTTAACAGAAGGAAAATAGTTATGACAGCTTTAGATAAATTTACAAAATACGCATTAACAAAAAACTTAAATAGCAGAGTAATAGAAGACGTTAGAATACCCTAAGAGGAATTATATTTTTCTTCGGAGTACCAAAATAATAGTTATAGACAATGATCCATCTTTAAATTCCGCCTCATTAAAATTTTTAAATATCGCATACGCAATACATTGCGAAAAAGTCAATATAATAAATTCGTTTATCTTATCAAATTAAGAAATAGGTATTGCAAGAAAAAGTATAAACAAAGATGATATTCCATATATAAATTTGGATGAAGCTTCCGAATTCTCTGAAATAAAAATTGCAACTAACAGCAAAATTATAATTTATATTAAAAGCATTCCAACCGTGGATAACCAAATTTGTAAAACAGCTCTAATGTCTAAGCAGTAAAAATAATGGAAGAATTAATAAAATAAATTTTAATACAATTCTGAATTGCGAAAAGACAAACAAAAATAATATTGTAAAAAATATAACTCCTTGTAAATATGTTTAAATAATAATGTTGTAGGTTTAAAGAATGATTCAAATGGCGAATTTTTTATCAACAACGAATTTGCTGCACTAAACGATACATTAATAATCCTTTACAGCAACAAAACTATTCAAATTAACGGAAAAACATTTTACAACGAAGAAAGAGTAAACCATTACCAGAAATTCTACAACCTTCATCCGCACCAACTAATATCGAAGAAATCCTCACCCATGGGGTGAGTCACATATTTAAAAGTAAAGTCATATGAATAATACAACCAAAGCGCTGAAATTGCGACACGTGCAGTACGAAATTGTGGGAAGTGCAATGTCAGCGAATTTCATCCCCGTTGCAGCGGCAAATTTAGATTTAGAGGTTGGTATAATTAATTGTAACAGTTAGTTTATATTCTGATTTCAATAAAGGAGTATAGGTCCCAACAAAATTTTTTTTTTTCAAAAAAACATAACTAAAATTTATTAGCTTGTATTCGCCACGAAAAACTTGTATGTTTTTTCATATTTCAAAATAGGAAATATTATCTGCCCAGCTACCTAATTTATAATATTAAACGCATACGTACCAGAGAGTATGCGGATACCTCATTAAAGTGGCATAGCTGCTATCTTTAATGCTACCAAGTTATGTTTTGCATATTTGAATGGTTCAAATGACAAATGAAAATACAAATTCCTTTTCTTTTCTTGTATTTTTAAAACTTAAGACTTAACATCAACTTTAGTAGTTTAAATAAAATTTAAAAAAAATAATTACTGTAACGTTTTTTAACGCGAAAAAATAATAAAACTACACTAAGAAAGTGCAGGGTTGCAACATAGGTGAGGACTCTTTAGTTGATTCGAACGACGCAATCAACAGAAAAATAGATCTAACAGTAATTTTTGAGTTAAATAAGATAATAAAATTTCTTGGATAGGTATTGCAAAAAAAATTGATTTTCAACATTTTTCGGATGTGTCTTTTCTGTATTTAGTATGCGGTATATTGAATTTCTTGCAACCCATGTCTAGAATTGCTTTTTGAACTTGTAAAACTGTCAAGTTGGGACCGTCAGCCAACTCATTGTATATGCATCAAGTATTGATAACGGCGACTTGAAATCGTAAAGCTACTGCTATGCGAAATATATTGTGACGAACACGGATGATAGAACAAAATCGATGTGACGATAAATTGCCAGAAGAAACTAGACAGCGAATTCGTAATTGCCAGAATGTTCTAAAGGGAGACTTTTTGTTAAAGATCTACTATATAAGGGCTGCCAGATTGTGTAGCACATAGTTCTAATTAGAGTGTTGCCGTGTAAAGAGCATTTAAGCTATAAGCATTAAGTTGTAAACTCGAATAGCGAGCAATAAGTGTTAAGTTGTTGGAATTAGAAATAAAGATAAGTGTATAGCATTAAATTGGGACTTTAATTTAACAATCCAATGATCGAACTCAAGAGTGAGGTAGACGATTTATCGTCTTTTGGGCTTCCTTTCAAAAACATTAACTCTTTTTGTAGTT